CCAGCCCCCAAACCATTTTTGTTGCCTTCCGCTGGACTCACCTCAATTTGTCCACATCCTTTCTGTAGTGGGAGGCCCCTAACTGAACACAGTACACCAGATGTGGCCTCATCAGTGCTGAATAGAAGGGAATAATCACTTCCCTTGACCTACTGGCAACACTTCTACCAATGCAGCCCAGTATGTCATTTAGCCTTCTTGGCAACAAGGGCACACTGCTGTCTCATATTGAGCTTATTGTCCACTGTAACACCCAGGTCCTTTTCTGCAGAGTTGCTGCCCAGCCAGTTGGATCCTAGCCTGTACCGGTGGCTACGTTTCTTTCATCCAAGTGCAGGAGTTTGCACTTGTCCTTGTTGAACTGCATGAGATTCATTTGGGCCCAATCCTCCAATTTGTCTAGGTCACTCTGAATCCTAGCCCTAGCCTCCAGTGTATCTACTACTCCCCCCAGCTTAGTGTCATCTGCAGACTTGGTGAAGGTGCACTCTGTGCCGTCTTCCAGATCATTGATGACTACATTGAACAAAACTGGCCAGGACCAGTTTTGAACCCAGCACCAACCCCTGGGGTACTCCCCTTGATACCAGCTGCCTACTAGACATCGAGCCATTGATTACTACCCCTCTGAGCCTGATGCTCCAGCCAGTTTTCTGACTTTACAGTCCATTCATCCAGCCTGTATTTCTTTATCTTGCCTATGAGTATGTTGTGGGAGACCGTATCAGAAGCCTTGCTAAAATCAAGGTATATCACATCCACTGGTCTCCCTGTATTCACAGAGCCAGTCATCTCATAGAAGGCATTCAGGTCAGTCAGGCATAACTTGCCCTCAGTGAATCCATGCCAACTTCCTAATAACCTTCTTCTCCAAGTGCTTAGAAATGGATTCTTTGAGGATCTGCTCCATGATTTTTCCAGGGTCTGAGATGAGGCTGACTGGTCTGTAGTTCCCTGGATCCTCCACTTTCCCTTTCTTAAATATGGGCACTGTTTGCCTGTTTCCTATGTCAGGGGTATCTAAGTCAGGGGTATCTAAGCAGCAGCCTGCAGGATGCATGTGGCCCACAAGGG